GGGGGGGGGGGGAAGGTGGGAGCGTTCTCTGATCCCTGTCAGGATGTGGGGGAGCACTGTCAGCAGAGGCAGACACAGACACAGTGCTTGGCACAGCAGTTTCTGGGCTCTGCCTCCTTTGGGATGCTCTTGGTCTTTGTTTGGGATCGTGGTGGGGGTTGCTGGGAACCCCCTGAGGAACATGGGAGTGCCTGGGGAGGATGAGGAAGAGGATAAGGAAAGGATAAGGAAAAGTGAAGGAGAGCCACAGGAGACCGGCAAGTTTTTAGTAAGCTCCAGCTGCTTTTGATGGGCTCTACAAGCTGCCCTGGGGAAGGAGAGCTTGGAGCCCCTGTTCCAGCTGAGCCCAGGTTAGGAGGGGCCAGCATCCCTCAGCCAGGGCAGGGGAGAGGCCTATAAAAGAGCCAGGCTCAGCCCACAGGTACTGTAGTGCAGCTGGCAGAGGCAGCGGTTTGTGTGGAGAGTTGGGTTGTTTTGTTGTTTCTTTTTGTGGTTTTGTGGTTTGTTTGTGGGCTTTTAGAAACAAAAATAAGTGCCATAACATCTTCTCAGAGCAGCACACGCGTCCTTGGCACTGCAAGGTCACTGGAGGAGGCCAGCGGGCTGTGTGGCTTCAGAGATCAACAGGATCATCTCTGAGACCTCACAGGAGTCCAGACCTTCCACTCCAGTGTCAGTGTTCACCTGCCAGGCTTGAATGTGGAAATGCCCTCCATGGTGAAGGGTGTCCTGGTGACTCCTGGCAGCAGCAGGGTGGCTCCTGCTCCATCCAAAACACAGTGGTCATGGCACAGGTTCAGTGCCCTTGTTGCTGACAAGGTGCAGGGAGCACTCTCCAGCCATCTCCAGGTGACCTCTGCCAGCAGGACTGCGGACCTGGTAAGGACTTTGGACTGGGAATGGGCAGGGGACAATCCTGGCTCTGGTGGGGATGGAGTGGGCAAGGAAAGGACCACAAGCCTGGATTTTGGGACAGCAGGCACTGGCTTCTTCAGGGATCTGCTTGGGAGGATCCCATGTCCTGGTGAGAGGAGGTGTCCGAGAGGACAAAGGATCAGTTTGCCCAGACTCGAGTGGTCCATCCCAGTGAGCAGGAAGCAGGTGGCAGGTTCTCAGTGTTGGCTCAGGGGGAGTAGAATTGTCTGAGCAAGCAGGGATGGGGCTGGGGCCACTTCAGCAGAGGGAAATGCCAAGTCCTGCACCTGGGGAGGGATAACCCTCCAAACACAGTAACCCTACAAACCAGCACCTACTGGTGGCTAACTGGCCGGAAAGGAACTCAGGATCCTCAGGATCCTTTCTGGTGGGTGACAGGTCTACCACAAGCCAGCAGTGTGCTCTCATGGCAAGGAAGGCCACCAGCCCTCTGGTCTGCATTAGCAGGAGCATTGCCAGCAGCTCCAGGGAGGTGATCTGGAGGTGACCCATCCCCTCTGCCCAGCACCAGGTCCAGTAAAAGACATGGACATACTGGAGAGAGCCCAGCAAAGGGCTCTTTATCTACTGTGAGGGTGATCAAACCTTGGCACGGGTTGTTCAGAGGGGCAGCAGAGTCTCCCTCCATGGAGATATCAGGAACCCCACTGATCACAGCCCTGTGCAAGCTGCCCTGGGCTCTGTGACCCCGATGTCCCCGCTGGCCTCATCCTTTCCATGTCCCCGAGGCGCCGGGATCGCTGCTGTGCTCAGGGATCTCCCCGTGCTCAGCCACTAATGAGGGAGCCAAGCTGGTGCCAGGAGCAGCCCAAAGGCCCCCCGTGGCTCTGCTGCTGATCCTCACCTGCTCCCTCCCTCCCTGCCGGTCGGGTATCGTTGGCTGCTCCTGCTGCCGCGCATCTGCTCCCTCCGGCTCCCCGCTGTCCTGCCTGCTCCCCGCTGTCCCCAGCCTGGCACTGGCGGCTCATTAGTTCGGGGGAGCCGCAGCTGGGCTGACAAAGGGATTTTCCCAGGGCCTGGGGGCCCCCTGGTTTCGGCAAGCTGTCAGCCCCGACCACCCCGGCGCTCCTGAACCGCAGTAACCCGGCAGCATCGTGCTCCTCTCCCTCCCCGGGGAAGGGCCTCGGCGTTTTGATGAGCTGAGAGCAGCCCATTCATCTCGCACATGAGGCTCCCGAGCAAGTCCTGGAGCTGGCAGTGCCCCCGGGAACTCCAGATCTCCTGCCCTGGACTGCTCTGTGTGTGTTGTCCAGTCAGGGCAGCCCTGTCCAAAAAAGCAGGCTGCCGGAGCAGCCTCCCTGCCCATCAGCCAGGGGGGGTGGTTGCATTTCCCTGCTCCAATTTCTTGCTGCTTGGCCAGCGTGTGCAGGATGGCTCCCCGGGGAAGGCTGTGTCCTGCACGTCCTGTCCTCTCCCAGCTCAGCTGCAGTGGCCTGAGGTGGCTGAAAACCCTCTCCATCCCCTGCTGGGAGTTCTGGGGGAGGAGGGGATGGGGCTGGGAGCATCCTGCCTGTGCATGGACAGCAAGCATTCCCCTGCTGGCTCCTTCCTCCTCTGCAGCCTCCCCAGGTGCCCAGCCAGCCTCGGGTCACACCCTGGGAGCAAGACTAGTGCCTCAGTTTACCTGGCTGTCACCCCCTGCAGCCATACCCCCCCCCAGGGCTCAGGTGGGCTGCTCCTCCTTGTGCCTGCAGCAGATATCCATCCCTTTCTGGCCTTCCAACAGCTCTCATCTCCCTGGGGTTGGTTTTCACCCTGGTTAAAATCAGCCTGGTTACATTCAGCAGTCCTGAGTGAGGCAAGCCCTGTGCTGCCTCCATCCCTGGGATAGTCTGGGGATTGCCAACACAGGACACTGAGGCACCAAGGACATGCAGGAACAGGGATTACATGTCCCTGAGCATGTTCCTGCCAGCCTGGAACATGCTGGGGAATCCCAGCCCCTCCTCCCTGTCCCCTTGCATGGACATATCCATGACCACCTCCTGGCAGAGCAGGGGCTGGGGGCTCTGGAAAGCCCACCCACAGTAGGTTTGGGTGTAGATTCATCTCCTGGGTGCCAGATTTTCCCTGTGCAGCAGCCTGGCCCCGGGGTATCCCACAGCACAGCCCTTCTGGGAGCAAACACCCCTGAGTTTGCTGGTGGTGTTGATCCTCCAGCTCTGACCCTTAGTGGGGAGTGATGGAGACACACACACAGAAGAAAACCCTTCCCAAGAAAAAGGCATCTTTTGGTAAAGGAGACTTTAATCTGCTCAGTATCTAGTCCATAGTGCAAAGAGTTAAGGCAAAGCTTTCTCTTTATAAACAGCAGACAAACAGGCCCTAAAACAACAAGCGTGACTGCTACAACAAAAAAAAAGGTTTGAGGGAACAAACTGCATTTTTGGGGAGGTGTCCTTCTCTCCCCTTCACCCTGTAACTCATGTAGGAAATATTGCACCCAACGATCCATGAGCTGGTCCTGACCAAAAGCTGCTGCCTGTGGCCAGAGGCACGGCCACACTCCCACTCCTGTGTGACTCCAGAGGCACAGCCAGGGAAGGGTGCAGCTCCCTGTCTCCCCTGGGACAAAGCCAGACCTCAGGGAGCACAGCCTGGGGGGTCACACTCACTGCTTTGGTGAGAGCTTGGCTACTCAACTGCAAGTGTTGGTGGCTGGAGAGAGCAAACATTAATTACCAAGGGAGGTGTGTGGGAGGCACAGGGACAAGAGGCTGAGTAACAGGGAGCTTTGCGTCTCTTTGAAGTGAAGTGGAAGCAGCTGACGGCCCCAGGGCCAGGGAGTCCCTCCAGCTCCCAAAAAATGTGAGGGAAAACAGCCCTGGCAGTGCCTTCCAGAGCAAAGCCACTCAACAACAAGACAGTGCCTTGCCACAGCTCAGTTTTACAGCACAGAGGCATCTCTCAGCACTCCAGGCCTCTCTGCTGCCTCTGTTTTGGCTTAAATTGCTAATCAAGAGGGGAAATAGAGAAGGAAAAGCATGCCAACTGCCCTCAGGCTCTTGGCTTGCAGTGCAGCAGTCAGCTCTCTCCAGCCTGGCTGCAGCCAAAGTTGGCTGTGGCGTGTGGCTGACCTCAGGCAAGCAGCTGGAAAAGGAAAAGCTTTTAAGTGCAAGGCCCCCTGGCAGCCCAGCAGTTTCTTGGAATGGTGCTGGTTGCCCAAGCTGGGATGAGCCACCTCAGGCCTCCCCAGCCAGGAGCAGATGCTCTCATTAGACTTCAGTGGACACTTTAAAACCAGCTACATTTGTGACAGACAGTAAGACAAAACAACAGAACAACCCTGCCCTAATCCAAGGTATCCGTGGTCCTGGTGCTGCTCCGTGCACACAACTGCAGATCCCAGCAGATGTGCAGAGCTTGTGCCTGGAGCTGGAATGTCTGTGAGCTCCCAGGAGCTTTGGGGTGTCCCCTCTCTCCTCCCAAAGAGTTCCTCCCTCTAGCCAGCCCAGCCCGGGAAGGAGCAAGCAAAGCTCTGGTGTGAACCTGCCCGTTCCAGGGCGCTCTGAGCCTGAAAATATGTATTATCTGGAGAGGGCTCTCCACCCTTGGCTCAGAGCTGGGCTGCTGCTGCTGCCAGGGCTGGGAGCAGTGGCTGGGTGGCCACTTCTCAGGTTCCCCAAGCAGAAAGAGTAACTCCCTCCAGCCTCCCTTTGCAGGAAAACCTGACGTGTGCTTGCTAGTCTTGCATAGGTGATGCGTGGAAGCAGCAGCAACACTGAGCTCTGCAGGGCTCCACGCTGTCCTGGCAAGGGATATCCCTCAAAAACCAAAGCCACTGAGTGGCTGGGATGCTGAAGTACCCCAGGAAACTCTGATCTCCAGCTGGGAGCCAGGCTCAGCCCTCTGGGAGCAGAGCCAAAAAAACTTGAGTGTGCTCCTTCCTCTCCCACGGAACTCTCTTCCCCCTTCCCAGGGAGCTCTTCCACTTCCATGGTGGGAGGAGAAAACAGAGGCCTGAATGCAGCCAGCCAGGTAGTTTTCTAGTGAGATCTTGGGAAAACTCCTCCCGTGCCTTGCACCAGCCCCTCTGATTCCCAGGAGGGCAGAGCCTTTCACTTTTCCATCAGCTTTGGCTACGAGGGACCAGAACATCGCTCTGCTTTGGATCTCAGGCTGCTGCAGGCTCGAGGCACACAACAGGCCTTGAAAACAGCAAAAGTGGTCAACAAAAAAAAAAACCCAGGTAACTCTTCCAGCCCCCTGCAGAGATCAGTGCTGTGCTTGCTAGCAAGAGCTACAACCTAGGTACGTAGCAAACGTGACCAGCAGACACCCCCACAGTGCTCTGCCCTTCCAGCACCATCCTCAGTTCTTTGGAAGCTGCTCGGGGTAGCCCTGGGAAGTGCAGGCAGGGCCGTGCCTTTGACCTGCTCGTGGGAAAACAACCCAACCCCCTGTGCCGTGGGGCTCACAGGTACACGTTGAGGGTCTGCAGGATCATCTGGCGGCACAGCGGGCAGTTGCGCTGGTAGATGGCCTGCTGCAGGAGCACCTCTGTGCACTCCTGGCACAGGCACAGGTGCCTGCAGGGCAGCAGCAGCACTGTCTTGGTTTGGTCTTGGCAGATGACACACTTCTTACGCTCCTCTTGCTCTTTCAGCAGCGCCCAGGGGTCGTCGTCCGGCGCTCCCTCGGCGTTCCCGGCTGCCGCGTTCAGCTGCTGCTTCCTGGGAGCCTTCCCCCAGGACGTGCCTGGCTCCTGCCTGCCTGCCTGGGGCCGCTGTGCTGCGGCAGCACGGCTCAGAGCAGGGCGTGGCAGTGGCATGTGTCCTGCCTCCAGCCGCTCCTCATCCTCATCCAGCAGCCTGCCCACGGCCACCCTGCCATGGGCCGTCCCAGCGCGATTCCCGGGGCGCGGCTGTGCCACCTGCTCCTCGTCCAGCAGCCGGCCCAGCGCCCTGGGCACGGCCACAGCCCCTCGCTGGTCGCTGCCCCGGTTCGTCCCTCTGCCTCCTCGGCTCCAGTTGGTCACCTGCAGGCTCCAGTCCGTGACCTGCAGCGCCCAGTCCGCCAGCCTGCGCCAGGGCTGGGAGGTGATGGCCATGCCCACGCTCAGGACGGCCACCTGGTAGAGCCGCCACGCGTCCCTCTTCAGGCGCTGGAAGGTGGGCAGAGCGAGGAAGTATCCCTGGAAGTAGCCCAGGAAGTGTCCCACCAGCGTCCACAGCAGCCCGGGGTTGAGGAGGAAGGTGCCCACCGCCACGATGAGGAGGAGCAACCCCAGCCCGTAGACGTTGACGAAGAAGACGCTGACGAAGATCTGGGCGGTGGTGCAGAGCAGCTCGAGGGCCAGCTGGCAGGGCGACCACAGCAGGATGGACACGGCGATGGCCCCGCTGGACACGTGCGCCAGGAAGGCGGCGAGCAGCTCGGACAGCCGGAGCGCCGGCCCCGCCAGCGAGTCCCAGAGCGCGGCCAGCAGCGTGAGCAGGTTCTGCGCGCCCAGCAGGCACACGTTGACCAGGCTGTTGGCCAGGTACATCAGCAGGCTGCCCGCGATGGCCAGCGCCTCGCACGCCTGCCGGCCCAGCGCCTGCCCGCAGCCCAGCGCCGCGCCCAGCCCGCGCTGCGCCAGCTCCCGGCCCCGCAGCGCCGCGTG